TCGGTTTTTCTAGATCTTACACATTCGGTAGGACTCCTTGGGCGAGTGATCAGCTCGTCGCAAGGCCTCTAGCTGTAGACAAACACAGAAAAACGCACACAAACATCCATGTCCTGAGTGGGATTCGAACCCACGATCTCGGCTTCCGAGCGAGCGAAGACAGTGCATGCCTTACACCGCTCGGCTACCGTGACCGGCTAGTCCCACCATACTAGCAATAAAAAAAATTCTAAGAGATAATATTAACAATTTCGGGTAAAAACNATACGTCGAGAATTTATTTGTCGCGATATACGCCCGATATGCGACACTATTTACAAATATTTAAGCACCCAGCGATATAATTATGTCACAATGAAGCAAATTGCCTGTTCTCCATAACTCGGAATTTCTGTGCGTCGTTGGAAAGGGCTTATGCTTGCTTGAACCTGCATAGAAATCATACAGTCTGCTGTCCTCATTTCGACATGCCGGTTCAATAAAACCTACGCCTGCTCTGCTGGTAGTAAGGAGGGATCATTAATTATTCAGTGACATAACGAAATCAATTTTCACCAAACTATCGTTGCATCAGGCCTAACTTTAAATATTCGCACTGGTAACATTCTCACATTCGTGTTAGGGGCACATCAGATCGATTCCCTTTTAAATGACTTCCTGGTACAAAATTAAATTTTAATTCATGGGCTGGAGAAGAATATTAAAAATCAGAAGTTCTGGGAAGAACTAATCGCCTATTTTCCTTTGATACGACACGAACTGCATAAAAAAATGTGGCGTCCAACAGTTATTGTACTGTTGCGTGTGTATTCGTTGGCGCGGTAACGTTTCTACTGAGCAGTTGCCTAGCAACGCTACGGGGATACACAGACTGATGCGAGATATTTAAAAGAATGCCGTTGAAATGGAGTTGATAGGAGGGGACACACAGATACATCATCATCATCATCATCATCATCATCATCACCACCACCATTGGCAAAACAGCCCTTTCTGAGTCACAGCCTTCCTTAGGAGATTCTGTGAAACTGCATCCGGTTTTCACGTCTTTGGACTTCACAACAATATTTTTTTTACAGAGCAATATGGTCAGCCGAGCGTCCAAACCCCATCCCAACCTGGAGGACCAGGTCCTTGTATTTATGTCCCCCAGTGACAGTGTAGTCCAGTTATAACCCCAGGCACCGGGTTCCATTTTCATCGCCTCCTACAACTCGTAGAACTGGGGTGGAGGTATTCTAACCTGCCTCCAGCCGGGAACCGAAAAGAATTGTGCGCGGAATTTTACCTCAATGCAACCTGTTCGTCTCCATGACGTAATGCGCAGGTTCAAGGAAAACTTGACCTCTTGAGATTTAGCTTCAGTCTGCATATCTGGGATCTATTCCGTCCGCCAGCGACCAGGGGTCGAACATGCCCACTTTACACTTGCCCTTTGAAAGTTCATCGTTTCGTGACGCACGGCAGTGCCAAAAACCCGTCACTTACGGCACTAGTCGCGTGTCGCCGAGTGGCGCCCACTCACGGCTTGCGTGCATACTACGCCCAACTGTTCCCTCCGTCCACTGATTTATTACAGACTACTTTCCTTGCTTTTAAAAAAATAAAAGTAGGCTTATGCGATCTCAGTGCTGTGTGTCTGTGTACGAGTAACCCCCCCCCCAACTTTTGAATGCCTGAACCAATTATCATGAAACTTAGTATGCATATCATGACACCCGAGCCCATCTCAACGGCATACTTCACAAATCCCTCCTACCGCTGCTAGGCAACGGATCGGTAAACACGTTTCCGCTGCACGAATACACGCAGCAATAGAATAATTGTTGGATGCGTGTGTCTGTATGTGCCCTGTGGTTGCTTGGTAACAACTCGTAAAGACGTTACCATAGTAACAAAGTATTGTTGGAGGCGTCGTTTTCTGCGCGATCCGTGTCGTATCAAAAGGAAGTAGGCGATTACTTCTTCCAAGAACTTCTTGTTTACAATCACATTTATTGGGTTTTCCCAGACAGCCTTGTTTACTGTACACCTTCCTATTCTAGTTGTCCTATGTTTCTAAGGCAAGGTAGATCATAGTATTAAAATTATATATATCTGTGCTACTAGTTACCACACATGTGCTGGTTCTGTAACTGGCCTTGTAGCTGTTGACTCCGTGCATAAATAACAGCGAATTGATCTGTATTATCACGCACCACCCAGATGGGATGTTCCTTTTCCAAGTTTACATTGGCTCTTAATTCTTCCACTTGCGTCTGTAAGCCGTTGGTTCCTACTCGATGCTTCACAAAACTGTTTTCTTCAATGTACAGGGTTGGTTCTAAAAATTGAAGAAATACATTCCTCCGAAAACGTCAGTATATCAGGCGAACCTGCTTTTGATACGAGAAGATAGTATTCCTTCAGAAACCTTGAGCTATATAGGATAAGGGTCATATAGGAATAAACTCTATTTCTGCCGAAATATCAAAGTACAGACGAACTTAACTTTACGTCTGACATAACATGCAAAGGTTTCGTCACGGAGTTCATAAATAAGGAGAAACCCAGCAGGCAGGTGAGCTCCTAGTTCGACTATATCAGATTCAATCCTCACCCGCAATAAAGCCTAGCGTCAAACTTTCCGCTCTCACATTTTCTCTAGACAATCGGCTCACAGATGGCGGTGAGGTTGTCAGTCTTACGCGCCGCCCGCGCTTTACCCACCAGGAAGATTCCTGGTACTCATTTCTGTTAGAGACTGAATCGAACTCAGTGCCATTTTTTTATTGCTGGTGGGGTGGGACTGAGTCCCTTGTACTGCGGCCACTTCTGGCGTATTGTACCAGCCCCAGATGAAAGGTGAGGGTGATTGTGGAACAATTGGTGGAATGAAGATTGTCAGGGGAAACCGAAGTACCCGGAGAGAACCTGCCCCAGAGCCGCTTTGTCCACCACAAATCCCACTTGACCAGACCCGGGATCGAACCCAGGCCGCCGCGGTGGGAAGCCAGCGACTAACCGCTTGAGCTATGGCGCGGCCTACCTCAATGCCATAGTGAGGCTGGAAGAATTAGGTAAATGAGTACCAGGAATCTTCATGGGAGTAGAGGGCGGCCGGCGCATAAGGCTGACAACCTCACCGTCTTCTGTAAGCCGATTGTCTAGAAAATGTGAGAACCTCAACATCTCACAACCGTATGGACCTCCACGGCCCGTTACAGGGATAGCTTTACCTTACCTTACTGAATAATTAATGGAAAATACGTAAATGGATTTATTCGTGGCGAATGAGGAAACTCAAATGGAACCTCAATCAGGATACTCTGTCTCCAGACCGAGACTTAAACTCACAATTTCCTAAATGCGAGCCAGAAGTCCTAATCTCTCGACAACGATTTTTTTTTTTTTACTCAGTTGAGTTTTATGAAATTTGATTTCCTCTATATATTTTTGATGAACCAAATTTTAGTCCTTAATCTCGCACGTCGTAACCAGCCAAGTGCCAAGACAGATATAACGCCCCCCCCCACCAGCTTAAAGACCGTGGTTGTGATAATGTGCTGCCTGCTCAAGGCTATCACATACCTCAAGCGTCGATAATAACACGAGTATTGGAGCAATGACGGAATGTTGATTAGAAGAGGAAAATCACAGAAAACTCAGAGAAAACCCTGCTACAGTTTCATTTTATCCACAACGAACCTCATAAGGAGATATCCCGGGATTCGAATCTGAGGCTGCGTGGTAAGAAGCCAGCGTATAATCCGTTAAATTAAGGCGCTGCCTAATTTTGGTCCTTATTGGTCCAATATGCTTCTAACTTTACATAAGAATCAGAATTCTGAATTCACTCCTGCTGGGCCAACTCACGACCGTGACGTGTGATAACATGGTTGGTAGGGTCAGACGAGCAGACTCATTCGTCCGAATTATTGGCGGGCATATTGTCTGTCTGGAGAAAAGCAAAATAAGCTGCTTCGAAAGAAACAGTCCACAATGTCACTTTATCCACCAAATGCTCACTACTATCCAAAGATTTGAATTTATTTATGTATTTACAGTATTTACAAAGAAACTTTACTTACCTGAAGACTACACAACGTCGAATGGTAGGATGATACATGAATTATGAACTTGAAAGGAGATGGAAGGAAACGGTCATTGACTAATTTAAGGTACTATCCCAGCATCTGCCTACAGCGAAGAGTAAAACAACATTACATAACATAATTCCGATAATATACGTTACATCTACCAGAAGGACAAACTGTCACTGCCTGGGAACCTTCAAAATCAGAGATACAGTTCTCCCCCCTCCCCCTCAAATGTAGTCTCTCTATGTCTCTGTCTCTATCCTCAGTGACAAGCGGCCTCCGTAGTCTAGGGGTAACGTTCCCACCTCATGACTCAAGGTACGCGGGTTCAAACCCGGCGGAAGTCGTGGAATTTTTAAGGGCGGAAAAATTCAGGGAACAAGTCTTCGGGGAGGGACTTTAAGCCGTGGGTCCCGTGTCCTAGATTTACGGCACGTAAAAGAACCTCATGTCTCTAGGAGACCTCTGAGCTAAATTTGGCAAAACGTTTCCCGCCCAAAGTAGTTTCCAATGCCTCCGGTAGATGGGGAAGTATTAGGTACCACTGCCAGAGGAGGGGGGACCTCTCTGACAGAAAGGGACTAACTATTAGATACCACTGTCAGTAGAAGGTTGGAACCTCGCTGGCAGAAAGGGGCTAAGAGCGAGCACCAGTACCGGTAGGGTATGGAGACAGTAGAAATTAAAAAGGGGGACGCACAATGGACCAATAACTGGTCTAAGTGCATGGGGAAACCCACCCCCTCTATACTCAATACTCAGTCCTCAGCGACAAGTGTTCTGAAGGTTCCCAGAGTCGTCAGACAGGAAAATATGGTCGAGTGTGGTGGCACTCGGAACCAAGAATCACTGTGCTGGCGAGGACCAGCAGCAGTTTAGCAGTCAGTCTTTAAAGGGTCAATTAATGTCTGTCTGTTGCAGGTATCCGAGCTGGACCACCAGATACACGTTATCGAGGTGCCATGTTCGTTGGAACCAAGTGTCATCCAGCAAAAACCCCCAGACTACGATACAGTGGCGGACGCACCACCCTGCTATGAAGACGCTATTAAACTCAGCCCATCTCTGCTCCTGGCAAATCCCACGGGTGGCAACTCACATCGTGACCAATCACAGCCCTCCACGCCATCTACATCAGCAACTAGCTCAGCTAGCCGTAATGCAGTACGTGTAGAAATCAGTTCGGAAATCGGTCTAGCGGGTAATTCCGAATCCACGTCAAATGTTAGCTCAGCGTGTAGTTCATGCAGTAGGCAAACCATCAGCAGACTTCAGCCAGTCACTGTTGATAGACATGGTGTTCCTGGTACTCCCCCGCCGCCGTACGCAGCAGCGAGGTGATTGGTTAGGAAGCCCCAGAACCTGCCCTTAGCTGAAACGTAACGCGATAAACCTCAAGAAGGTGTCTTCAGTAGATCCAGCTAAATGTGTCACTGTTTACACGCCCTCAAACTTGTAGCACTAAAACCCACTTCTGGATGACGAATTTCTACTGCAGCCGTCAACTGTGTGTGTATTCTGTGCACACTCGCGAGAGGCATCGTACCGTCATCAGCCTCGCCAGGGTGGCTGTGACGTCTGAGAAATTCCAGCGTCCATGAAGCAAAGAGCTGCCGTGTTGTATGTAATTACACGTCGACTACCTGGTGTTAAAGTGACGTCACCATAGCAACATTTCATGTAAATGGTGATCATGCCCTCCATTAAAGGCATGCATTATAAAGACTGAACAAATTATGTGACTAAAAGAAAATCTGCGTGTGATACCGAAGTTAACCATAGCGACTATGTTCTTACGTACGTCCAAATCATTCTAAAATGTTCTTGATCTCTATAAAAGTGTTCGTATGCTGGAATATGTGTTGTATTTTAGCAGTGGCAGTGTTACTGTCCACATACTTCAAGTACATGTTCGAGTTTATTATAGAGAATGAACGTGGTGAATATTGTCATCTAGAATGTGACGCCGTGTAGTCCAGTAAATTTTTTTACCAATGGTTCCGAAGGACTTGTCTCCATATTCAGGATCGAAAATATGCTTAACGAGCAATATCACTCAGATTACTGGTTTCATGCTCGTTGCTTGCTAACCTGGAACTGAAGATGGAGGCAGTACATTTCTCCGAAACGTGAACTTTTACCAGACTTTATGGCGTCACATCTCCGACTATTGCATCGTACATAGTCACCGCTATGAGGTCCTCACATTTAACTATGTGATGTTCTTGACATTCTATTGGACTGAGTTTCATGGACACTGCAGATGTGTCTTAATGCACGTAAAGGCTACTATGACCTATCGCACCAAGAGCTGTGTCATAAAGATACAGAATGGGAAAAGTTCATACTGAAATTTGAATCAAGAACTTTTGTGTGCAATGGTGTACGAATTAGTGTTCAGAAAGTACAGCTGTGAGACAGATCTTAAAGAAACATGGTTTAATAAACGCCTAAGAAGAATTTTGTGACTTCTTGTACTGTCTTCACTCCGTGTATCTGTATTCTTCGTATGTACAAGAAAAAAAGACGTGCGATTTCATGAATTTGCCAGTCCATATTTTACATTTTCGTGATATTAAAATTTTTCAGTGAAGTAGAAGAAGATGTAGCAAAAGAGACTTGGGTACTGTACTCAGAAGACAGCAACCATACAAAATATTTAAAATTGTCATTAATTAATTAATTAATTTACTGGCTCAAATTCTTGAGTTTACTAAAATTGTTTTGGAATGTGTTATATTTAATACTAAAAAAAAAAACTAAAATACAGAGTGATTCTAAATTATTGTCGGAGTTTTCGTGGCCTATAATTTTGAAACCTTGTGTGCCACGAAAGGCACGCATGTTGAAGTTGTTTAGCATTCAACAGTATTGATTCTGTAAGTGATAAAACTTTTTGAGTTACATTTTCAAATTCTGTAAGAGGTTTTATTTTGTTGATTTCGGTTTGAAAATTATAGGCCACCGAAACCCCGACAATAATTTAGAATCACTCTGTATTTGTATCATTTGATGATATATGCCCACTATTATTCAGTTACCAAATTATCCTCGCAACCCTAACTTTAATGTCTGTATCTCCGGAAAATGAATGCGATGTAATGTGATTCCATAATTCCACAAAATTAATAAATAAAAATTACAGTAGTACAACGGAATAATCCAAAAAGCGAACATGGATGAAGTTTATATTTCAGACGAATGAAATAACTGGTTTGTTCACGAATATCGGAACGGGGAATTCCATAAAGTACCCATTTATTTTGTGGTGATTACGACGTTTGATACTATGAAAACAATAAGCTATCAGAAGTCCGCATAATAACACTACATTCCAATATCTTCATCTGTAATCAACTGCAAACCCATTGTGATTTCATTAGCCCTTATCCATTCTTTGTGTGTCTTGACAAGTCTAGCGCGAGCGGAAGAATATAGCACTGTTGTCACACTCTTAATTGAGTCTCAGACGGCACTATATGCTGTCGAAAGCTCAAACGGTCAGAGTACAGCTATGGATATCGTGGTAGAACATACAAGTAAAACATACAACTCATGAAGCAGCTGGGAAACACGTGACTGTCAGCCAATGCTGTTTCGAAGCGGATGACGCTGATAGATGAGAAATTATCAAATCCCGACCGGACTGTAGTTCTCACATATCGTGTAGTGTTTGTTATTATTCCGAATATACGTTCGTGGCTCAATATGATATAACAGACCTGTTGGTACTTAGCTCTTTCCATTTGTGTGACAGATATATCGTGTTTAGAAGTACAGCTTCTTGTCTGGATGTGTTCGATATTTGAAAATATCAGCGAAATAAGCGTCTTCTGCCATTTCTAAAAAGTTAACAGTTAACTGGACAATTAAAATTACAGCAGAATATATAAAAAATCACCTACGAAATCCGTGTATACTAACAGGAGAAACTTTATTTGATCCTAAGATCTGTCATGGAAGTGGTTAACAGGGCCTCACGGATCATAAAGTTACAACAATAATTTTCTCATGTACCTTCTTTTGTTAGGTGATTTCTTCTTGAAAGTGTGTGGACTCTCGAACGATTTTCCTGTCAAGTCCGGTTGACCCCCAATACGTCATTCACGGCTGTTCTGGGTAGAAAACAACTCTCAGTAGCTGCCGAGTTACTGACATGTATGAGAATGTTGTACAAAGTAGTTGTGTCTAGTCATGACATGATTCGGAATAATCATGTACAGAGTCTACTTTTATTTGGTTATTTAGCAGCGCTGTATCATTTACCGAGGTTATACGTCAACTTACAATACTGGAAAACGAGATTTAACGAAGGAGCTGAAATAAATTCAGACATAAAACAAATTCCGTAGCTTGAGTCCGCAAGCGAACTATACCGACCGAGCGACCGCCGCTTGTCGGCGAAATTATTGCCAACTTTAGCGGATAGAGGGTGTCACGTGGTCAGCGCAACGCAGGAAACATCGCCTAATGTATGGCATAATAATACTGACCACAATATAAGGTTGCCCCTACGCCTAAGCACCACATTAGGAAGAGAAAGCTCCAGGCTATGCAGAGGAGAATGGCAGATTTCACGCTCCGTCCACAGTAACCACCGAGTAAATGTTTTGATAGACCTCAGAGCCCGTCCGGATGTGGTCCTGATGACAAGTACGAGTATATGTCCGATCCTGCAGGCAACGGACCATGGGAACCTCAGGTCTTCTGGGGTTCTAACTCTCCTTGTAGGGGCTACTCAACTGTTTGTGCCTATATCTCGCTCCAATGCCACAAGATTATTCAATTTTACATACAGATATCTACAATAAAATTCATATTTTCGTTCCAAATCTGCATAACATGAGATACTGTATTATATGGTGCCCACATTTCAAAATTGTTTGCAACCGCCATTTTTGTGTCACTGAATAAATATATTAATGCGAACGCGACACAGTCCAGTTGTATGATATTCTTTCGAAGTTTCGTTAAATCGGCCAGCCAACTGATTAAAGTTATCAGCAATTGGCATAGGTCGACCAGAATACTTTCCGACATTTCGTTCACACCGATTTCCTCCGTCTGACCTCAGTTCCTGCCCAGTGACATGGTAGTAAGGTCTAGGAATTGTTAACTGGATGGATCTAAAACCTCAAATCCCTCAAAATTAAACTTCAAAGATTAATTTCTACGTAAATAGTTCTGTCGAAGCCTCCAGTAAAATGCATTTAAAATAGTACTGTAAAGTACAAAATGTTTTGCTGTGTGTGAAACGGCTTGTATGTGTGTGTGTGTGTGTGTGTGTGTGTGTGTGTGTGTGTGTGAGGTTTTCCACAAGGCTGCACAGAGCAATTTATGTACATAAATAATTAATTTAATTTTCTTATAAGAGAAAGTGCAGTCTAAGCAATTATAAGAACTTCTAAATTCTTTGTGTCTTTTCTCAAGAAACAGCTTGGAACGCTCTTTACAGGCACCTGCAATATCGAATCGGCGTTTATTTACTGAGTTTTGTACATTATAACTGTTACTCAAAGATGGCAGATGTCCACTTTTATTTATAAATAAACATTACTAAACAGTGATCCAAATTACTTTTCCTGAATACCTAACCACAGATGATACCGAACGAAATCTTGATCCTGAACAACTCCTCTATTTTCTCAAGAGAATCCCTTCATAAATGTTTTGGAACAAAAGTCTTTATTATACATTTAAAACGGGTTTTGGTATTTTATGTATTGTAGCATGTAAACCCGTTGCTAAGTAATGACTCTGTAAACAACGCCCACTGCTAGGCAACAGATTCATAACAAGCAACAGAGGAACGGTGTTTTCTGTGCGGTCCGTGTCGAGATATAAGCAGGACAATTAGTGAGAGTCAGTGCAGGNCAGACAAATCCAACCCGTGCCTTTATAACCCAGTTCTTTACGATCACTTTAAATACAATCTTCCAGCCAAGCTTAGACCCACCTAGATTTTCCAACTAAAACACTCGGTCAATATTCTCGAAAACAGATTTGAAAAACATGCAGATGAAATTATACTCCTGTATATTTTAACATGTTCTCAGATATTATTTTCTTAATATAAAAATAAAGATTAAGTGGCCATAAAATATTTCGTTTGTTCCAACAATGTAGCAGAGAGGCACGTGCTTCGGAAGTTGCCACTGCGTACGTAGTCAGTCTTGCGCCAACAGAGCACACCATCGCAACAATGAACAGCTGAAGACCATGAGCCGGAAGTATAACAATCAGGCGGCGGCGGTCAGTTTTAATGGCCGCTCTTGGAGACCGTTATTTCTTGGCCGTTGCAATGTGTCATAAAGGCTCAGCATACTTTTCAACTATTATAATAATATTCGTGTCAGTCACGCACTTAGGTACATCCTCTCAGCTGTTGCGCCTTTGTTCACGACATCCTTTCTTGTGACAACAAGTTCCGCATGAGTGCAACTGTATGGGGAAGGTAGAAGTAAAGCCGTCCCTGCGACAGGCCGTCGAGGCTCCCACATTATCCAGACAATCGGCTCACAGATTGCGGTGAGGTGGTCAGCCTTACACTCCGGCCTTTACACCCAGGAAGATTCCTGTTACTCATTTATGTTAGAGGCTGTGTCGACCCCAGGGTCACAATGTGGCTGAAGGATTAGGTTAATTGAAAAATCAAATGATCTCATCGGGAATCGAATCCGCGACCTTTCGGCTTGTAGCATAGTGCCTCAACCAAGTACGCTACTGCGTGCCCCCGTAATTGTATGAACGTGAAACTTAATTCTAACATTACGCCTAAAATACAGGATTATGTTAAATATGTTTGGAACAGACTCTCAGGAGAATGTACTGTGCTTGGACCTAATGAGAAATAAATTCACGCTAAAGAATATTATATAATAAGCAGTTTCATAACTTGTGAACCTCTGAAAATATTATTAGCAAGGTGAACGAGGTGGAATGGGCACGTAGCATATGTGGATATAGGTAAAGGTGTCACCATGACATGAATAAGCATGGGGGAGTGGAGGCACAGTTCCACAGTTCTTCACTTGGGCACTAAATGAAAGTGAGTGGTCAGCTTCGCGTCTCGACCGCTTTGCCCCCCGGAGGAAAGAGCCCCAATCCATCGGATATGAGACTGGGTGACCTCCAGAGCTGGTCTGGACGCTGTGGAGAAGGGAAATATCTCTTACCCTTGCCGGGAATCGATCCCTGGCCGTCCTGCCCGTAGCTCGTCGCTACACCGACTGAGCTATTACGGATCCTAGCATGTATGGGAGATATCAGAAATGCATACAGATTTCTGATAAGGGAATCTGAAGAGAACTGATCGCTTAGAGCTCCTTGGCTTAGATAGAAAGATGGCCGAATGTGGATTGAATTAATCTGGCTCAGGATAGATAGCAGTAGCAGGTTCATGGCAACATGGTAATCACCTTTCGGGTTCCATAGAAGGCCAGAAATATGTTAGATATAAAGTGGGACAGTCTACACAACAATACCATGTAATTCTGAGACGAAACAGGCACTACTGTGTCAGCATTTGTTTTTATTAGCTGTTGGTGGTAACACTGCATGTTTCGAACCTTTTCTTGAGTCAATTTCAGGCGTACAAGGATACTGGCTACTTGAACTGCGTCACTGATCAATATGAATTCATACTATGTGTGTAGGAATGTTGAAACAATAGTGTCTATTTTGTCTCTTTCAGAAATACTGTTGTGTAGACTATTTTTCCTATGGCACACAACAGGATAAATACTATAAAGGTACTAGGTGCTCAAATTACTTAGTCTGCTATTCATGAGCGAATTTTTCATCGACGAAGATGGAGAAAACTATATAAAAATGTCAGCATTATTACTCCAGGCGCCTTCATGACGTGGTACTTCTTACAGAGATAATACCAAGACGTAGGTGGGTGGATAATATTAAAATGGATGTTAGAGAGATAGCATGATGGTGGTATGGACTGGATTGATCTGGCTCGGGATTGGTACTAGTGGAGGGATTTTGTGAACACGGTAATGAACCTTCTGGTTCCATAAAATGCTGGGAATTTCTTAAGTACCTGCACAACTGAAGGCTTCTCTAGTATGGCACAGTTCTATTATGTTAGTTACAGCAAAAAAAAAATGTATCCGTTTGTTGATAATCAACATGCTAATTCGCTCCACGTGTTTACCCCAGTTTAGCTAAGCTGATGTTTCCCACTTCGAATGGAAACAAGACAACACGTATGGCCCCCACCGTCACCGTACCGAGACCCTTTAATCAATATGCTTGAAGCTCCCAAGAGTCAATGACCTCGCGTTACTAAAAAAAGAGCACCCATTTAGTCATTCACTAATCACGAAAACAGCGGGTGAACATCTCAACCAATTTCAGAGGTGATAAAACTTGTGGATGGCAGTAAAAATAAGTAATGAAGTTTTTTTTATGTACAGTTTGTCTTTCTTCTTCCGCGTTCGTTGCACCTGGTTCTGAAGCTATCAGTCAACGTAACCCATTTCCGACAAGACTGTCTTTTGGTTAATAACTGAAAGGGTCTGTGATAAATATAGACATGTCTAAACATCACGGGTAATTGGTTAGTGCCGTGTTTACACGCAATGCCTGCTCAAAATTCACTGTGAACTATACAGGTTTGCCCAGGATAGTAGCACACGCCCATTTAGCTTGTTATTTTTTAAGTTGGTTGTTTAACGATGCTGTCAGTATCGAGAATACTGCCATATTATGTAGGGCAGATCGAATATACTAATGGTTCTTCAATTTCTGCATCTCACTTCCCATTCTAAACCTCCAAAATCTCCTAACATCCCCTTCTAACCTCAGAAATTTATTCTCTTACATATTTAACTTCCTGCAACGAGAATTATTGGGCTAACAGACTGAAATCTTTATTTCAACAACGTCACTGTCATATCTTAGGTTGAACATCTGACTAGAGCAGTACAGAAACAAGATATATGACACCGGAAGGTCTTGTCTTCTCGTCTGCTGTCTACAAACGTAAAAATTAGAATACAAAAGCACTATAATTTTGCCTGTGGTTTTGAATGGACGTAAAATTTTGTCTCTGACATTAAGAGCGGAACACGGACTGAGGGTGTTTGAGAACAGGGTGCTGAAGAGAATATTTGGACCGAAGAGCAGACCCACTACTTCTCAGAAAATCTGGTGGCGCCCGGAATCAAATCCGGGACCTCTGGATCTGTAGCCAGGAACTCTGACCACTCGACCACAGAAGCGGTAAGGAACTCGATTAGAACGTCACCCACAGTACCAGATACAGCGACAGGATTTTCGAGGTTTTCCTCAGTTCTGTCAAATTCCGTAGTAAGACTTGGAAACAGGCAATGGCTATTTCCGCGCTGATCACTGTTCATCAACCATTCCATCGTATTCCACGCCGTTTAACTTACGTAACCGCAACCGCGTCCCAATTAACCTAAGAATCAACCGGTCCTCCTCTTCCTCTGATGATGCAATCAGGGGCACAACAGCAGATAACAAAATCCGTCCAGAAGCACATGTGAGTTTGATGAGACTGCTTATCACGAACGTGACAAAAGGAACTCAGTGCTGTCATATCTGGTGCATAATTGCCCTGAACGTCACGCATGTGGAATCATCTGCAGAAGAAACAGTAAGAAGCGTGCTCCAGCAGACGACTACGAGATCAGTGATCGTGTATCAACGAAGGGAAAATGAACAAGTGAGGTGAGGTGAAAGCCAATCGCCCAACCCAACATCGTCGGTCTTAAAATCGTGCAAGAGAGCTGAGGGGGCCGCAAGACTTCATAATGAAGTGCTTCTCAACTCACACGCTTCACAAAATACTGTTTTTTTTTCTTTGGCGCTAAGGCCCCAATTTGGGCATTGGCCTACCTCCATGAAACTCTCCGTTTCACTTCTGTTTGCTGGATCTTAGACATTCGGTAGGACTCCTTGTGCGGGTGATCAGCTCGTCGCAAGGCCTCTACCTGTACACAGACACAGAAAAACGCACGAACACAAACACTAAACACCCATACCCTGAGTGGGATTTGAATCCAAGATCCCGGCTCCTGGGCGAACAAAGACAGTGCATGTCTTAGACCGCTCAGCTATCATGACCGGCGTGATCAAATCAGGGAGAATGAGATCGGCAGGGCATGTAGAACGCTGTGGAGAGAGATAAGAAATATAATATGGCCTATGGTATTTTAGTCCCAAAACCTGAAAGGAAAAGACAATTTGGGCCACCTAGCCGTACCCTTGTACCATGTTAAACATCAAGCAATGAAAACGTATGGGGGAATGCAGATACGGCTCCGCGCATTCTTAGGTAAGCCGCACACCGACATGCGTCAAGACATATAACAGTCAAGCCACGACTTCTGCGACATGACGCAACGAAATGAACACATTTGAAACGAATGAGATCATGAAAACCACCGCACACCGGTCTGAGTCATGAAGCTGACGTCAGCTTCATGCTGACGAATGACGAATGTAGCAAGACTGCGTCTTTTGTCTCATGTCTTGATACTTGTCTTGACGCAGTTGAGTGCGGCCGTCCTTAACCTTGGCACTAGAT